ACCTTAATGATTCTATGATTCTATTTTTCAGTGCACAAACGGGTTCACAAGCACCTGGTTTGAATGCGTGAATCAAACAACTGTGCAGCAGTACTGCATGTTTCCTGTTTAGCTGTAATTGTTACAATGTCAATTAAAGGGTTGGTTCCTATAGAGAAAGGTCCTGCTTTTACTCACAGATCGTATTTCCTGTTGAATCCATTTACTTCATAGGGAGCTTTAAAATGATATTTTTCCTTTTTCTTAGAAATCTCCTTAGGATCTGCTGTGGTTTTTAAATGTACCTATCACACTGTTTCATCTGTTGTGCTTGTGTGTACTTGTGCCTGTGCTTGGACCGCATGATTTTTCTGTATTTTTGAGGTAGGGAGATCTCTCTGGTGGGAGTTGAGGAATACTTTGCACAGAAGAAACACGGTGATTTAAGTAACACAGTCTCTACATGTGTGCCAAATCTAACGTGTGCTGTTTGTGGTGCTTTCAGGGAAGGGAAGTCAACATCCCTTTGGTGCCATGAACCTCCCTCAGACACCAGCAGTGGCCCAGATTGGAATCTCAGTGGAACTGCTGGAGAACCTGGCCCAGCAGACTCCTGTTGCAAGTGCTGCTGTGTCATCAGTAGATTCATTCACAGAGGTAGCTTGGACATTCTGTTTTCAGAAATTCTCTGTACTACGGAAGTCTTAAGAATTGAGCCTCTGAAGAACTAATTAAATAAAGAAAAAAAAAAGTTGCTATGGGTGGCTATAGGATTGTAACCAACTAATCGTCGTCAAATCATTTGGCTGGATGCTTTGATATTTTGAAATTACTTTTACTTACACTGGAGAACTGTATCTCCTGTAAAGGATTGGATTTTGCATGCTCAGTGGAATCAGGCCAATAGACTCACTTGTTTCGATGTTACTCTACTGTAAAAATATTTCTGATACTTCCTTATAGGAGCAGCTCTGACTAAATGCATGTAAGAGACGGTGGATCTTTGGTGATTTGTAGGTGCTGGAACTCCAGTGCGTAGACTTGCAGGGATGGTCAAAAATTATTCAAAACTCAAGGCAGACGTGGGCATGGATGCAGATAGATATCCAAGTGTACTACTGACCCTTGAGAAATCCTTCTGACGTAGTTCTGCAGAACTACAGAATCATGCCCTCTCCCACAGAAAGATGTGGGTTTTTTTTTTTCCCCAGTTCTTTCCCTGTGGACCAGGCCTTGGGCTGCAACACTTGCTATTTTTTACCCAGCCTGTTAGTTTGAATCTCTGGAAATCCTCAGTCAGCACTGGCAGTTAGTTGGCCATCTAACAGCAATTCAAGGCAAGCTAGATCTGCATGGCACGTCTTGATTTCCCTAACACTGATGGCCATGGCATTACCTTCTACCATTTCAGAAGTTGGTGAGGCTTTTCTTGAGGCTTTTTTGTTTTTCTTGCTCACTTTCTTTGCAGACATTTGCTGAGGTAGATTGGTAATTGAACAGTAATCCTGATAATGAAGCTGATGTCCTTTGGCAGTTTACACACATAATAGCTCCAAATAGGTCAGGTCTCTTGGAGAAAGGTATCATGACTAGGACTTGACCAACAGCTATTTTTGTATAGTACAGTTAATTGAGCTTTTCTGGAGTTGGGGCAAATGACCTCTAAATAATATTTCTGATTCCACCAATTTTTATAATGGCAGTAGTTAAGTCATGAGGTAATAATGTGCCACTTGAGGTCATTTGCAAGGTGGCTGGTGGATTTTTCTGGCAATAGTATTTAAAGAAAAAAAAACATCTCACGATTGCATAACTTTTTTTTACAAATGTTATTTCCAGTTAGGTGGATTTTTCTATTAAAAAAGAGTAGCATCTTAACTGAAATTGTATATTGCTTTCAAGGAATGCGGTTGAGCCAAAGGTTGAAGTAGTGGTTACTCCTATAGAGAAAATGTATGAAGTCACAGTTGAAGGAAACCTTTGAGGGAGTAGATAGCAGAGGAAGGGGATATGACTGGGAGCATGTTTGTGAATGACTAATGGCTTTTATTTAATACTTGACATCATCTCTTTGGAACTGCTACATTATAGCAATAAAAGTATTTTTTTAAAGGCAAAATCATCTGTTGCTACTCTAAGTTAAGGGGTTGCTCTCCCACTACAATTTTAGTAAGTTTTATGAAGCTTTATGATTGTATATATATTTCATATATATATAGTTATATTATAAAAATTGCATGGAAAAAAGTGGGACAAAACCACAGAGTTCTGCATGTGAGTGGGGTGAGACTGAGGGTAGGCTCCCGAGTTCTAGTTCATCCATCAGTTCTTCCACTCCTTTTGTCAGAACAGGTGGAGGGAAGCACAAGGGTGTGCATATATTGCCCCAGGTTCTGTTTTCCTCCATCATTTCAATGTCTATGAAAACAGTTTGTTCTCCCACCAAAACAATGCATACTTTTTTAAAAATAAAAAGAATAGGGGCAAGAAGGAGGTACCATAGGCTTATGTATTTGTAGACTGGCTGGGAATGTCCTACAGCCTCATCCTCTGCACACAGGGCTTATTACTTCTTGGCCTCTCTTTCACTCTTTTACTTCCTTATTCCTACAGTTGACGATTTTCCTGTGCATCTTTTTCATGTTTGCCCCGGCAAGATCTTGTGGCAGAGGATGCCAGGATAGCAGCCCTTCTGCGGTGAAAGCTAAAGGAAATTTCCCAGTTGCTGGAGTCTGACAATGAGTTGTAACGTAACGAGGCAGATTGCAGAATTTTCAGCTGGTTTAACAACTAGTGTTTTGCTGTCAGCTGGAATGGCAGCTTTGACCTGGTCTACACTTCTTCTGATGGTTTAATTTGGAGGAGAGGGACAGCTCTTGTCACTGCATCGCTTCTTTGTCACAAGAAGAAAATGTTCTTCCCAAAGCTGTTTATCCAGTTGGATGAAATTGGGCAGGGAGAGGGCGAGTGAAGATCCTGAAAATGGTTTCTGGATGCTGGATAGATCTAAGGGCAAGACTGAGAGTTAGGATATTTTGATCAATTTAAAATGGACATCCCTGGACCTACTATATCCACTTTCCCATTGTGTTTTATATGACAATGCTAATTTTATTTCATATAGGAGTTGTATATCTGTTAAACTTTTGCACAAAAATTCAAATTGAAAAAAAAAATTGAACTTACTTAAAATGTCTCTTTTATTTCAGTTCACTCAGAAGATGTTGGATAACTTCTATAACTTTGCTTCCTCATTTGCTGTTACTCAGGCACAGATGACCCCAAATCCTTCTGAAGCTTTCATTCCTGCAAATGTAGTTCTGAAATGGTAATGGCAATGATCTCTAGTAACAAGTGTTCTATTTTCTAGGCATTAAACCAGCTGATTTCTAAGTATTTCTAAGTAACTACTGTCATGCTATTCAGTGAGATGATGTGAAAATGTTTAAAAGTGTTTGTTGTTATTTATCTCAAGTTTAGAGAAAAATCCACTGGTTTTGTATTTATTTGTCAGCATCTTCATATCATTTTTTTGTTAGGAAAGTGCTATACAGCCTATGAATTTTTTTAGAAAAAGATGTCTAGAAATGTCACCCTTGACATACGCGGATTTGCACTATGTTGCTGATTATGCAAATGCTCTGGAGTCATGGGAAGACAGAACACACTGATACTTGTCAATTTGTGCTTATTTGTTATGCTTGGTCTCTTCCTAGACATAGTTCCAGCATACTTATATTGCTTAAGAATATGGGAGAGGTGGAGAAGGCGTGTTCCTGGTTGACCTGGTTCTGTCACCAAGACCCTTGAGCACAAATGCAGAAGTCTCTCTGAGACTTGTTTTCCAGGGACTGGTTTAAGAAATAACTGTCTGTGGGGATAGCCCATGTAGTCTAGAGATAAGCTGTGAACTGCAGGCAGTCCTTGAGGATGTCTGAAAAATTCTGTCTTACAGTTTATCAGTTTAGCCCTCTTTAGCCTCTACACTATTAACCTAAACCCTTTTTAAAACAGTATTTTGGGCTCTCTGAATACAGTTTCATCGTTAGTACAGATCTCATGAAAATGCAAGCAGTTAACGTAAGCAATGTATTTTCTTTGGGAGTGTAACTTGATTCAGATCTCTTCTATTTAGCAGGTAATTTCTATGTGCTCCATGAACATGTGTGGGTAAGGTCTCTGATGAGAGAAATCAAAGGGAAGACAGGCTAAAGAAGTAGGGTAATGGCTGGTCATTGCCTGGATGATGCTGAATTTGCTTTTGGCTGTTGTTCAAAACAGTATAGTGAAGTGAGGCGTAACTCTAATAAACTGAACACATTTGTGTATAGAAATCTGTTAATGTGATTACAGCCCCAGGAAAAACATTTTTTGGCTCTGTTCGTATATTTCTGAGTCATTATAATGCGTTTAATTGTAGCTTGTAATATGTGGAGTATCTTAGGTCTCTGCAATGGGCTGGCTGCAATGGAAATTCAATAGTTTGGCTTAGAAATTCATTCATAAATAAGCCTTTTTCCAATTTGAGTGGGTTTAAAACCCTTTAGAGTCTCTTTTCTATTTGAGTCAGGTTAGGAATTATGAGATGTAGGAGAACCTTTTTTTTTGTTTTCTTTGTTTCATTGGCAGTACCTTTTGATACCTTATAGCTTGGGTTTGTGAGGATTGAAAGGGGTTTTTAGGCTTTTGTAGCTCAAAGCCTGGGGTTTTGTGTTGGGTTTTCTGGGGTTGTTTTTTGTTTCGTTTTTAAGAAAGTAACAGAAATTGTATGCTTTCCCTAGTTCTTTGCTGTAGGTCAATAATGAATTCTGATGTTCGGTTTGTTTGTGGTTTGCTTCTTTCTGTGAGTATGGAAAGTGAAATTAGGACAGCATGTGTGTATACTTGATTCCATTATGTGTTAGAGAATTACTTTTCCTCACTAGATTTTTACTAAGGGATTACTGCATATAATAAATGTGGAAGTTAGAATTATTTGGTGAGGGTGGAAAAACAATGGGGACTACTTTGTCTTAAGGTTTCTATTAGAACTACAAGGCAAATCGATGCATAGCCGTGAGTGCAGAATTGTCTGCAGATCCCTCTTCCTTACCTGTGAGCAGGTTACGCGTAGCCTGCTAGGAAGCGATCCCGAGTTGGAAGCTGTTGTCTCTGTGCAAGCCTGCTCCAGTCTGTCAAGGTTGCTAGCTCGTGTCCCCTGTCCCATGAACTGGGAAGTGCCAAGCTGGCTCTGCGCATCCTAGATGGAGCAGCACTGAAGGGGCAGTACAGGGACAGCTGAACTGGATTCAGCAGCAGTGGTCTGTCTTTGTTTTTCCCAGTATTACAGTGTATCCCTAAATGGCATGAGGTTTTCTTGGTTTGGTTTTGCTGGGGTTTCTTCTGTGAGATACCTGGCCTGATTATTAGGATGATGGGCAGCCTCAGACTCGCACTTCTACCTGCCCGAACTTTCATTTCCTAGCCCAAAAAATGTTATACACAAAATAGCCACTTTTAATTCACTTATAATTTTACTAAGCTTGAATGAGCATCCTCTGGGATACCGCTTTAATGAAATATATATTGTTGTTGAAATACACAAGTCTCACTGTGAATATTCTTCATATGGAATCAGAAAGAAGGATTTTGGATTTACTAGATTCCTGGTGGGAGTAGAGGTAATTTATCATGTTCTCCACATAGACTAGTTGTATCATTTTTGACGCCGTTTTATTTGCAGCAGCTTTTGTTTTTTTGGTTGTTTGTTTTTTCTTTTCTAGGTATGAGAACTTCCAGAGGCGTCTGACACAGAACCCTCTCTTCTGGAAAACATAAGCTTAAATTGTGTGATTTGAAGTGCTTTCTAAACAGCATTACCCGAAAGATGCAACAAGTAACTCCACTGAAGATTTTTTTGGGGGGGAAAAAACGATTAGTCTGAATAGACAAACTTGTAACTTTTGTATTACTCTTGAAAATTATTTAAAATTAAAATCTGTGAAAACTACTTGCCTACACTTTTTTTTAATTGAAGTACTTGGCTGCAATAAGAAATCGGTGTTGCATGTGCGTGCATAGAAATATTCTTTTGAAATTGCATTTAAAGTGGAAGAAATCACAAGATGAAAAATGGCAGCACTGTTTCATACTTGTGTGATGTTTTGGGGTGTTTAGTTGTAAACAAAATAAATGTAGTTTTTCCTTCTTTACTTCATTCTGAAGGGTGATCAGGGAACTGAGACTATGCTGATGGTTTTCCTGCTGGTATTTAGGCTGTAAGTTCTTTCACTTTGTGGACAACCAATATTCCTGTCCCCAGCTCATAAATGGTATAATAGTATTTCCCTCTTTTTGGCATGAAGACGCTATTGAGCTTGATCTCTGGGTACCTGTCTTTAACTTTTCCTGTATGAAAGTGTAATGAAGAGAAATCTTTGGGGACTCTTTTCCTGCTGCAAGTCAAATAGCTTTGAAATGGCCGTTACAGGCCCGTTCAGAGTTGTAGGTTTGTACTTTGCAGCCCCGGACTGTTCAGTGAGATGAGAGCTGCTAGATTATTGACAGTGGAGGTATTTGATGAATTTATCTTTCTCTTCAGCTTTCTCTAATTAAGGTATAAAGAATGATGTGGAGGAGGAGAAAAAGAAGCGTAATGGTTCTTAGTATCTGGAAGACTTTTTCCGTGAGGAAAATGGGTTACATCAAAATGTTGTAGTTATTTCAAGGATTTGTGGGGTATAGTTTCTGTTGTTTGAGAGGAAGCTATTATGTTCTGCTTTAACAAACTCATTGCAGCACAGTGAACTGAAGCTTGTTTTGACTATCCTGTGAGCCTCTCTTGGTCTCCTTTGAACTTGTCTATGATTCTACTCAGAACTTCCAACAAAGCATCTCCATAGTCCCCATCGAAACAAGGAACGTTGTTCTGAATTCTTCTGGAGGGGTTGGAAGAAGCTGATGTCCCTTCAATTTGGTATGAGAAGGTATCTTTTCTTCAGTAGTTTCCACTATTTAATGCTCCAGCTCTAGAACTGCTGCAATGAAGCAGCAGCTTTGTTTCCAAGCACCCTTGTCTGTTGTAGATGCTATGCTTGATGTTTGAAGTAGGCCTGCCATCCCTGCAGTCTGTTTTCCTGTTGTAGTGTTGGGGCAGCCACATACAAAGGAAGCGGTGAGAGGGAAAGCAGGAGGAGACCTTATTTCTTCCCTATTTAATGCTCCAGCTCTAGAACTGCTGCAATGAAGCAGCAGCTTTGTTTCCAAGCACCCTTGTCTGTTGTAGATGCTATGCTTGATGTTTGAAGTAGGCCTGCCATCCCTGCAGTCTGTTTTCCTGTTGTAGTGTTGGGGCAGCCACATACAAAGGAAGCGGTGAGAGGGAAAGCAGGAGGAGACCTTATTTCTTCCCCTCACCCAGTGTGTAGTGTTGGGGCAGCCACGTACGAAGGAAGCGGTGAGAGAGAAAGCAGGAGGAGACCTTATTTCTTCCCCTCACCCAGTTGTTGATGTGTGAGAGAGGGGACACTGGCATTTACTGCAAAAGAGGATAGCAGACCTGGTGCTTTTGAAATGCTCAGGTGCGATTGATGGCTAAACGAGGATAGTTATCATCCCTCAGAGTGGGTTCCAGGCATCGCCTTTGTGTGCATCATCCCATGCTCTGTTGCTGGCTTGTCCTGTTTCCTCGAGGAGAGGCTGCTCTAAACTCTGAGGGGAAGTGCGCGGTGCTGCTGGGCTGGCACTCGCTACTTGCAACCCAGTTACAGGCTTGCAACCGAGTTTCATGTCCTGCTTGTACAAAATTTCTGCAAATGGCTTCTTGTGTGGTAATATTTTAGTACAGAGGGTGTGGAAGTTAATTTTACAAGTGTGCCACAAATGAAATTTTTCTGTAAGTCCAGGTCTAGTTATATTCAAAAGATCAATGCTGTCAGAGTTTCTCGGTTCCCCACTGCCAGAGTGGAAAGACCACCCAACATATCACAATTGTTGGAAACCCCTTGCATCTCCTCTAGCTGAAGGGTGTTTGTGCTACTTTTACGTCAAATCCTTGTCCATGTTGCTTTTTCCTTTTCTGCTTTTAGAGTGTCAGAACAGTTGGGCTGGGGACGTTCGCTCTTCTTATGGAAGAGCTACATATGGGAAAGAACAATTGTTTGCCCGTTCAGAGATTCATATTTCAACTGTCCAATGTTGTCAGAAGGATTGGCTGTGCTAGAAGAATTATTCCCAGTAAGAAGATGGAGTAAAATCTTGTTTCCCTTTGAAACAGATGTGGGGTGTCTGATAATGCTGCCTAGGAATGGTCACTGGCCCCAAAAGCTGTAGCTCATAAATTCATAGGATTTTGGAGTGGTCTGACTAATTCTCAGGAGGAGTTCTTTTGCTTCTTAACTGGAAATGTTTGACAGGGCATACTAAGTTTCTCAAGCCCTCAGTGCCCACACACTGAGTGTGGGCAGAGTTACCATGGCCTTATCGTGGCACTCAAGAAGACCACTCTCTAGCAAGGCATTGCCTGAGGGCCTGAAGGCTGCTAAAACTTGACTGCAATTAGTGTCTTTGCTGTGTAAGTCTCTGCTCCTCTTGTGTTGCTTAATAGATTCTACACCAGCTGTCCCATTGGACTATGCCACCGTAGCCTTGGAGACATCAAATCCCAGTGACACCGTGGAGAACTGCCTAAATGAGACCATGATGTATCTCTCTCGCTGCATCTTGAACAGAGTGAATATTGATTTTGTTTTCCTGGACATGGGTGTCCTTTTTATCGGGCAAAAGAAAGCCAAAATGAGGTTTTATGAAAAACTTCTTCTCAGCCTGGATGCAACGGTAAACTTTAAAGAAGTTCTTAGCAATGTAAGTCTTACTGTTTTGGCGATGCTACTTACAGGATTTCAGACTGAATCTCGAAGGCCTGGTGTCCCCTGGCATGCCATGATTTGTCTGACCACTTGGCCTAGACATTATGTACAGTAATACAGGTGCTCTACAGATTTATGCTCTTGTCATCAATTGTCTTGATGACATGTAAGATCCGAAGAAGAGCTGTGTTGGGTCAAACCAAGGATTGATCCAGCCCAGTGTCCTGTCCCTGAAGGCTTAGGAAGGGGTAGGAGAACCAGGCAGGGTAATGGTGGCACTTGCCATTACGTGTAGGTGAAGCCAGGGAAGAAGGCTGTGCTTGCCTCCACAGGCTTCTCTGTTGGTCAAGAGTTTGGTTGAAGCTGTTGAGTGTCACCCTTGCAGAAAGCCTAGCAGTATTACTACCTAGGATCAGTTCTTAGCAGTGGTGTCTCTGCTTGTTGTAAGGAGGGGCTATAGTTAACAGAAGAGAGCTTTGTTGGAGAGCTTTGGTGAGGCAGCTGCTTCTTTTAGCAGTTGAAAGGTTTGCCGCCTTTGTTAGCAACATGGTCGTTGCCTTGGAATCATCTCGCCCGTCTCTGTCCCTGTTGCAGAGGAAGAAAGGGATGATGAATTGGATCATTCCCCAGGGAGAAACCGGAGCTCCTGACATCCTTCCTAAACCTGACATCCTGTTTTCCAGGTGAGTAAGGCTGCTTCTGTCCCCCTTGACTGATGACGTGAGAGCCTCTCAGCTCATGTTGGGTAGCATTCCCAGGTGAGTAAGGCTGCTTGTGTCCCCCTTGACTGATGACATGAGAGCCTCTCAGCTCATGTTGGGTAGCACTGCATTACTAGGATTTTTCTGCCTCTCTTGAGGTTAGAGGACAAACTCATTCACAGGACACTCCATGCTTACTCTTGTTTGGGTTGGAAGATGTACGTCTTCACTTGAAGTAATATAGAGAAGCGATTGGTTTTTATGTTGCCAGCCTGCCATCAATCATGCAAAATCATCATCATTCATTAGACAGAACTTGTGGAGCGTAGAGAAGAATGTGGGCAACATCTTCAAGTTTCACCTGCTTTTTCCTCTTTCCTTTGAGACTACAAAAAGACAGGAAAACTACAGGAAAATTACTAAGAAATGTTCCTGTGCAGAATTTCACACAGAATGCTACATTCTACAGAACTATATGTGATAGAAGATGGGATCCATACACGTCACATGTTTGTGAAATTCTTATGCCTTTTGTGAGAATTAAGTGAAGAAACTATCTTAATTGCCCTCTTTGGGAGTATGGAAGAAGTAATTTCTTGGCAAACAGGAAGCCTGTTTGTAGGGGGAGGTGTCCCAGGTCTAACGCTGCAAAGGAGCTCCGTTCGTGACCCCCGTGATGGAGTTCCCTCTTTACCGATGCTATGACTTTAGTCAGGGAGGGTACGTACCCAAGTGAAGGGGAGGGTAAGATTAAAATTCAAAACACTCTTGGCATATCGGGGAGCAAAAAGTCTCCAGGTACACTTGGGATAAGGGATGGTAGACAGTCTCCAATTGGAGCAAGAAGGATTTGCATTAGACTCAACTTCCTAACAGGAAAGATTAGTGAGACCATAGACTCCAGCCACTGGAGTCCCTTCCCACGTAACTTGATTCCTACTAAAGCCTTCAAGGCTGTTGAAGGCAATGGACTGCAGATTACTTGTAAAATATCTCTGTGGGAGGATGAGGACATTCATGAAAGCTGCAGAGGGAACGTGGCATCCTTCATCCAAACTGGTGGCGTCATCTTTTCCTGCAACCTGCAGTGTAACACTGAACGTGGAGAATTTTTTTTTAAATCCCTCCATGAAAGACCCACTAAATCCCCCAAGGAGAAGAAGCAGAGAGATTATTATAAGGAGAGGATTAACAGGAAATGTGAGAGTAGACTCCTGAGAACATTGTGTGTGTTCTCGTTTTGTCCTTCTTGCTAGGTACCTATGGCAAATGTTAAAAGGTCCCTATGTGGCATAGGGTACAGATCCATCTGTTCTGGATCTGCTCTCCCTTCCTCATAAATCGCAGGTGCAAACTGTTCTTTCCTTTTTTAAGCTGGTTTGTGCACCAGGGAGTAAACATCTAGGGAGATCCTTCAGGCTGCTGAATACCAAATTCTGCTGACCATGGTGGTGGTTCTCTCTCATAGAGCCCATTTGTTTTCTTCTGAAGAGAAACATCATCTGGACATAGTTGTAGAAAAGGTTCATCACCTGTGCCAAAAAGGAATTTCACTTTTCAATCTGGGAAT